GGGCCGGCGGGAGCGGGCGCAGTGGGCAGCCGGCGTGCTGGGGCTTTCTGCGCGCAACTTTGGGTACAACAGCGTGGACCTGCGTGTGCGTATCTACGCGCCCCAAGGCTTTGTGTACAACTCGTGCGTGTGTCTATCGATTGGGTTTTGTGAAGCTTCATCCACAGCCGCTGTGCGTCCCTCTCTCCGGGTGTCTGTGCGCGCGATGGGTGGGGTATTGGGCCCCTGCGGGTCTTGGTGGATCTGGCTTGAATCTTACTCCCAGGGGCACTTGAGAGAGTGTGTGTGTGTGTGTGTGTGTGTGTGTACTCGCGCGTGCGTGTGACCAGTCCTGCCCCCTCCCAGGGTATAGGTAATCGTGTGGCCGGAAGATCTGAGGGTCACACTACGTGGCTTCTGGGTGTCTGTGGGTACTGCTGTGGGAACAGCTGCTGGGGGAGTGAGTGTGGAACTGGAGTGTTCCTTTCAGGACCTGTCTGACTGCAGATGAAATTAGTGACTGGTGGGGTCGTGGGGTGTGAACGGTGGGCAGGAGCAGCTGTGTCAGTTGGTGTGTTTCTGTTTCTGTTTGGGTAATTGGGCACGGCCTTTGTGTAACTGGTGAGTATCTCTGAACCTGTGCATGAAACAGAGAGATGTCCTAACTCTGGGTGAGAGGAATCCTCTTTTTTCTCTGCCCTCTCACTGTGGCATCCTAAGAAAAAAGTTTTGGGGTCCTGCAGCATGAAGGAGTGCCCTGCTCCCAGAATGTGGGAGCCCCAGATTTCTTCCAGGTTATGGAGGCATCAACATGTCAGTCTGGGAAAGGGGTTCCTGGGCCACTCCAGGAGCTGAGTTGGGTGGAAGGTGCTGAGGGTGTGGTTGGGGGCCACTTCTGAGCACCCACATGGCACCCACTGCTGGTACCTGTTTGTGGCTGGGCACTCAGGAAAATGTTTTTGGTGCTAAGAGTAAAAAGCCAACCAACAAACACATCTTTTTTTTCTGTCTATTCACTGGAAAAGTAAGAGGAGTCTGGGCCCAGGCTGGGGACCCAGATGGAACTGAAACTTATCCCTGCTCTCAAGGTGCTCACGGTTGCTGTTAAACAGCCAGATAAAATGAAGGGTCTATGAGTGAGGGATGCAGAGCCAGGGAAGGCTGGTGGAGTGATGCCACCAGCACAGGGGTATGAGTTTGCAGGTTTGTACGTGATAATAATTCTTAGGGAACCTGCATTCAATTCCTGTCCCACCCTCCCATACAGGCCATGGGATCTTGGCCATGTAAATGGAGACAGTAATTCCGGATCGTGGGGCTGGGGAGGGTGATATGAGATACTCCTGCGTGAAGTGTCGGGTACACGGCTTAACAGCTAGTAGGTGCTTGGTAAACATTTACTAAAATGGGACTCTGGAAAGAGAGATGTAGTGATAGAAACGGGTTGTAAAGGGAAAGGAGCTTTGTACTCACATGAAAGGCCCTATATGTGCTAAGAGGAGGTGTCTGATGCTAGTCCATATTGACAGGAAGGTCAGAAAGATTGAAAAACATGTCTTCCTGCACTGAGGCTCTTTGAGTTTCATTCATTCATTCCATTCATCCTCACTTCATTTGCTCATATTTACACATACACACACAGAGAGAGAGAGAGTGAGAGAGAGAGACAGACAGAGAGAGAACCACAGTGCACTGGAGAATAAACTCCAACATGAGAATGCAGAGAATCATGTGTGTGTGCATGTATGTGTGTGTAGACACACTGGAGCATGCGAGCCACTTTGCACCTGGGGGTCTCTGTAGCCCGTGGACTTGTGTGCCTAGGGCTCTGAGTGTATGTGCATGTGCCCTCAGGCCATCAGTATATACAAAGAATGATGCAGTTCTGCTGTGGATCAGGAATGACACATGCCAGGCAAGGAAGGGGGCTGAGGTAGGACCTGCCAGGGAGAGGCTAGATCTAAGAGCCCCGATTGCCAACTCCAGGTGAGTGTTATAAGGGAACGGGGGCCTAAAGTGGCCAGATTCTTTCATTTTGCAGGAGAAGCCAGGAATCCAACATTTAAAATGTAAAATCTAAAATCTTTTGCTTTTTATACATTTGCAACTAATTCACCAAAAACAAATGAACAGGCCAGGAACAAAACAAAGCAAAACTTCTGTCAGCCAAATATGGTCCCCGGGCTGTCAGTCAGTATCCTTCAGCGGGAATGCACATGTGCTGTCTGTGTCTGGGTGGGTGTGTGTTCAGGTTCTTGGGTGGGGTAAGTCCTTTTGCAGCACAGACAGTGTCCCTCTTCTCACCTCTCCCTCCTGCTTCCCCTCCTGTGGTCCTAGTCCAGGTCCCCACCCTTTTGTTTACATAAAAGCATTTGGCTTTGACCTAGTCATGGCTCTCCAGTCTGCCCCTTCCTCTTGGCCCTTTCAGCCATGCCATCCCCAACCTGCTGGCTTCCTTGCTGGACCCCCGTCCTCCACTTTGCCCACTCCCATCCCATCAGTCCTCCTTTCTTCTGAAGCCGAGGCAGATGTCAGCACTTCCCGCTCCAGCTCCTCAGCTCGCATGGCTCTCAGGCTCCTTGGCCTGGCTTTCAGAGTCCTTTGTGAGCCGGCCCCAGCTGGCCTCTGAGGCAGTCTGTTCCCCTTTCCAGAATGCCCTCATCACCTTCCATTGCTGGGAAATATCCAATTCATCTTCTGAGATCTGGCTCAAATGCCACCAACTCCCAGAAACTTCCCTTCCTCTGTTCCCACAACTTCTGCATTTCTACCCCCTCCCCCACCTCTGTCATCCTTCCCTCATACAACAAGGTTCATGGATTGCACTGGCCAGGGTCTTGCATGCACTATTTTATGAAATCCTCACAACAGCCTCATGAGGGAGGCATTTTATTCATTACCATTTTACAGATAAGAAGAAGACCGAATCTGGAGAGGTCACATCACTTGCCCAAGCTCAAGTGGTGAAGCTGGGATTTGAGCCTGATGTTCACGCTATCTACATTCCCTCCATCGTAATAGGAGCTCATCGCTAACACTGAGCACTCAGGGTTCTGAGCACTTTGCATAGGTTATCTCAATCCTACTCCAGCTTTGTGAACTAGAGGGGAGTAGTAGGATTATTTTATAGGTGGGGAAACTGAAGCCAAGACAGGATTAGTGAATTGCCCACAGCCATACCCCAGCTGGTGGTGGAGTGGGATCTGGGCCCGGATCACACTGTTCTGTCATTGTCTTATTCCCTGTCTTCCCCTCTGTCTGGCAGACACCCCCAAGTGGGAATCGTGCCTGACTCACCTTCATGTGCTTGGGGACTGGTGTGATGTCCTCCACAACAGGGAGAGGTTGCTACATTCAACTGACTTTCTGTTTTCTCTTCCAGCTGCCAAGGGGCCAAGGGATGAGCTGGGGCCCTCCTTCCCAATGGCATCTCCCCCTGGTCTGGAACTGAAGACACTGAGCAATGGTCCTCAAGCCCCAAGGAGATCAGCTCCCCTGGGCCCGGTGGCCCCATCCAGGGAGGGTGTGGAGAATGCCTGCTTCTCCTCAGAGGAGCACGAGACCCATTTCCAGAACCCTGGGAACACGAGACTGGGCAGCTCACCCAGTCCCTCTGGGGGTGTCTCCTCACTGCCCCGATCCCAACGGGATGATCTGTCCCTGCATTCAGAGGAGGGGCCAGGCCTGGAGCCCGTGAGTCGCCCGGTGGATTATGGCTTTGTTTCCGCCCTTGTTTTCCTGGTGAGTGGGATTCTTCTGGTGGTGACAGCATACGCCATCCCCCGTGAGGCTCGAGTCAATCCGGACACAGTGACAGCGCGAGAGATGGAACGACTAGAAATGTACTACGCCCGCCTAGGCTCCCACTTGGACAAGTGCATCATCGCAGGCCTGGGGCTGCTCACGGTGGGCGGCATGCTCTTGTCGGTGCTGCTCATGGTCTCCCTGTGCAAGGGCGAGCTGTACCGCCGGAGGACCTTCGTCCCCGGCAGGGGCTCCAGGAAGACCTATGGCTCCATTAACCTGCGCATGAGACAGCTCAATGGGGATGGGGGCCAGGCCCTGGTGGAGAATGAAGTTGTCCAGGTCTCAGAGACTAGCCACACCCTCCAGAGGTCTTAAGTACTCCCACCTTATCTGGCTGCTTTAGCTCCAGTGCCACAAGATCTCCCCACACCCGCCCCCCCGCCAAGGCCTGGGGTTTCAAACTGAGCTCACATAGGGGCTTGTGGAAGAAGTACTGGGTACTGGAGGGAGAGCTCGGGGCCCAGCCCATGCCCCACATGGGCAAGCAGCCCACTGGTCTGTTTTGTAGCTGAGGTTTTGCATACGGTTTTGTTTGGAGGATGGCTTCTGCTGCTAAAAATACAAAAGTTTGGAAACCGCTGCTCTTGGAGGATGAGGTTTCTTGGCATTTCTGAAGACCGGGAGCTGTTTGAAAGGTTGCCCATCTCGTTCCCTCATGCCTTGGGAGTGAGGGACCTCTTCTGTCCTTATCGGCTGAGTGAGGGTGTTGAGGGGTCCCTTTCAGCCCTGACCATCTAAGGTGGGAGGTGGCTTCATGATGAGGGGAAAAGTCAGCACCAGAGTGACCCCCAGTACCCCCACTGACTAAACTGTGATCCTACCCTCACCAGGCCTCAGTTGCCCTGCCTTCAAGTGAGGGGGTTGGACTGGATGACCCCTGAGGTCCCTCTAGTTCTTCCCTGGGAATGGGAACCCAGTCTCTGTCTCCAGTCACCCCTCCAGGGGAGGAAGGCATCCACCAGGCACTAACCATTCTCCCTGCCACTTTCTGGCCTGACTTCAGGAACCACCACAGCCAGCAGCTCTCATGGTCTCAGGAAAGAGCTCCCTGGTGGGGTTGGGTTCAGTTCAAAGTTTGCGACAGCCTGGTTTTCGTCTTGGGGTCTAATTTCCTGCAGTGACACATTTTTACAAAGCCAAGTGCACAATATTCCCCAGTTCTTTGGGCAAGAAGGATCTTTTACACAGGAAAGGGTGAGGGCTTTATTGTATTTCTGTGGGCATGATGCAGGCCTTGATCACCTTCTCAATAGTATGTCTCTTGCTCCTGACCTTATTTGGATAGCAGGAAAAAAAATTTTTTATGTTGAATTTGTAACCTTAATCTCCCCCATATAGTAGTAAAGTGAAGCCACAGTTTATTCGGGGGAGAAATCAGGCACATTTGGGTGGCCTAGACATGCTGGCCACATTGCCATTTGTTTTCTTCTTATGAAATGTTTCTAGGTTCCTGCAGACTCTCTTTAAACTCTTGATAAGGAAAGGAAGTAGGCCCTGGGGCAAGAAGACACAGGTGTTTGAGGACTGTGGGGAGGCATCCTTCAGTCTGAATGGCCCCAGAGGGCTTCGAGAGCACATGCCTTCTAAGCCACTGGTGTAGAGACCCTACAGGAGTCATTTTAGTGAATCCCCTGCCCAATGTAGGTCCTACTTACTCCATCTCAGTTGGCCACATGGGCCGAGGATCCTGTTTCTTGGGGATGGGAGGGCGGGGTGGCCATGGAGTCTGTAGGGTAGAGAGGCCCTGATGAGCTGTAACTTGAGCCTTCAGTCCAGTGAGTTGAACATCTGGGGAGTGTAATATCACAGCTTCTATGACAGATCAAATATCTGCTCCTACTGGTAGGTTTTACCAAGAGCTGAGAGCTAGAGGAAGGCTGGAAGGGACAAGGGTTGTTTATCTTGGCTTCCCAGATTTTTGTTGTGGTATTGAAGGGGTGTGGTTTGAAAAGAGCAAAGCTCCAAGATGGTAAAATACTGACAAGTCCTAGGCTTCCGCTGTTGTGTCGCTTTCTCCCAGGCTCCAAGCAGGCACAGCCACAGAACGTGGCATGAGCTGTTCTAAGTAAACTACAGAGGATTGGACATCCCAAATCATGGGCTAAGGCTTTTCAATCCATAATGATAATAATAAAAATATCAACCAAGTCATATGGATTACTGTGATGGTGGCAGACTCATTTGGATACTAATGATCTGTCATACCTGTTGAGTGAATGCATCTGGGACCATCAGTTCATATCAGTTTAAATGCAACGAGTTTATTTAGGGGAGAAATCAGACACATTTGGGTGGCCTGGACACGCTGGCCACATTGCCATTTGTTTTTTTCTTATGAAATGTTTGATGTTAATCATCAAACAGATTTAGGGGCTAAATCTGTTTGATGATTAAATCCCAGGAATCTCAGGTTTTTCTAAGGCAGAGAAGTCTGCTTTGCATTCTAATGTTGAAACTCCTTTAGAAAATGTGTATAATGGACCAAGGCAGTTATTACCTTGTCAGTGAATTAAGAAAGCTTGAGAGATGACAAAAACATTTTCCCATGATTACAGCTGAGATCTGCCAGCTGGTGGATCAGAAACAGGTTTAAGAAGGAGGTGATTAGGAACACGGAGTAGGGTGCTGAGAACTGTCTTTGCAGCATCCCAGGGGCCCCTGTGGTTCCTGAAATGTGCCTCTCCTCCAGCAACTGCCTCTCCCACCCAACCCGCTCCTAGGGCCCCAAACCTTGCTTTTCCTGGTGCATCAGAACAGATACCGATTTTGGAATTGGTAAGACTAAAGTTGGAATCCAGGCTCTGCCACTTACTGGCTGTGTGACCTTGGGCAAGTTACTCCACTTCTTTGAGTCAGGATTTCTCTACCTGTGAAGTGGGTTTAACGAAAGCTCTGCCTCAGGGTGGTGGTGCAGATTACAGATAAAATGGAGAACTGCATAGTATAAGGTCCAGGAATGATGATGCTGTCCCTCCCCACCTCAACTGGGGATAGCTGGATTAGGCCTCAAACGCTGTGGCCAACCCTTATGCTTTTCTTCTATCACACCTCACATCCCAGATCAGCACATCTTGTCAGGTCCACTTTCAGAATCTGATCGCTGTCCACCCTCGGCTGTCACTGCCAGTCCGGGGTTGCTCACTGGTGTTCTGGCTTTCTCTCTTACCCGCTTCTCCTCCCCTCCTCGCCGCCCCACCACCAGGTTCATCCTCCACTCAGCAGCCAGAGGAAGGCCAGAGGGTGGTCAGGTCATGCCACTCCTCTGCTCAAAACTCTCCTATGGCTCCCTCTCCAGGCAAAAGCCAAAATTCTCACCACAACCAGTGGCAGATTTATAGCAAGACTGGCAAAGCTTAAGTGTCCGGGCCTCTCTCCACAAGCCCCTTCCAAGGCCCTGAATTGATTTATCTATCTTGAAGATGCCCCCCCGGACTGCATAAGCTTCAGGTAACCCCAAACCGGGGTTCATCCCTCACAGTGGCCTACAAGGCCCTAAGCAATTGGGCCCCTGTGCTTCTCTGACCTTATCTCTCACCCTTTACCCCTTTGCTTACTCACCCCAGCCACACTTGCCTCTTGACCATTCCTCAACCTTACTGGGCACGCTCACATCCAAGGGACTTCAGACGTGCTGTTTCCTCTGCCTGGAAGGTACTTCCCCTCAATATCTGCAAGGCCCACTCCCTCACCTCCTTAGGGGCTTTGTTCAAATATCTCCTCCTCAGTGAAGCCTTTGCTGAACACCATATTTAAAATTGTACCCCACCCCACTTCATTCCCTTTTCTCCTTCGCGGCCTTATTTTTCTCTGATCACTAATCACGACCCAGCAGGCTGAGCCTTGTACTTGTCTTTCCCACCCACGACCTGCCCTACTGGACTGCAAGCTCCATGAAAGCCGGAATTTAGGTCTAACTGGTTCTTGCTGTACTCCCAGTGTTAGAAACATGTTTGGCACATTATAGGTGCTCATTGTTGAATGAGTGGATGAATACATGTAACAAAAGCTTCCTATACCTGCCGGTGCTGCAGAGCCATATGCAGGACCCAGAAGGCCCATGGCTCCTTTTCAAACTCCTGGAGCCCTCTCTAGGGGTGATGATCGGTTGTGCAAAGGATCACATGCCTCAGAGGCGCTGATTTTGTCACTGGACCCTGCAGCTGGGAACTTGGGAACCCATTTGCCTTCCTCTCCCTGGGCCTTGGTAGGGCTTTATGTGGAAGGGTTAGAGGGGTCTCCCTCATGAAGACCCTTCTCCCCTAACCTTGTTGGGACATAGCCAGGTGCCAGCTAGACCTGGGAGACATTTGCTGGCTGTTTAGGGGCCTGTGAGATAAACCAACTGGATTCTTCCCATCCAAGGACCTTGAGTGCCCAGGCCTGGCCCTTTAGAACCCCAGTATCCATGATCACATCTACTCACTTACCTCAGGCATCTCCCAGCCAAAAACGCCAGCTGCCTGAGATTCCACCATTATTGCTCCCTTCCTTGAGAATAAGCATTAATTTCCCTGGGATTCTCTTTAAAATGTCCTCCCTGTATGTACATATCTATACACAAACACGTGCATATGTGCATGAGCACACACATGCGCATGCACGTACACACACACACACACACACACACACACCCCTACCTTTCTCTTGTCCGACCTAGCCCAGAGGCCAAGGACACCTATCTTGTAAAGCCAGGACATCCTCTGGATGATTGACGATATTTTCTGTTTCTCCACCAGCCATAGGCCTTGCAGTTCCCAGGATGCCAACCTCACAGCAACAATCAAGTTTCTCCTCCCCAGGTGAAGCTGGTTTCTCTGTATTCTTCCTGCTCCCCGCACCCTTAGCAGGATGGGGAGAGATGTCCAGAAGCGTTTCTGTCCTGGCATTTCTGGCGGGGACTGTGTGGTCCTGGGCTGGGAACCAGGAGAACTAGGTCCTGCTGGTCACCCGTTCTCCCTGTGGGCCTTTAGGCAAATGACTCCATCTCTCTGGTCTACCAGAGGAAAATTGGAAACCTTCCCACTCTGTCTTCTCTGAAAGCTAGGGGATCAGAGAACACAAGCAGAGGGCTTTCCGAAGTTGAGAGCTTGGTACTCTGGGTCTGGAGAGCTTTGAAGGGGCAGGAGTAGCGGGGGGAAGGGAGGCATTATTAAGAAGCCACAGGAAATGGGGTTCTGTGTCAGGTTCTGTCAGGAAGCACTCACAAAGTCAGGGAGGCCCTCCATCTGGGCCTGCTGGTCTCTCCTGGAGAATGGACTCCTTTTGATGGTCCCCAGGAGGTACATTTCAGCTAGAGAAAGAGAAACTTGCTGAGATCTGGGCTGGAGTGGTAGGGAGCTTCTTGTCAGTGATGGTATGTTAGCATCTACTGGTCAGGTGTTGGATATCTTAGGGATGGAGCATAGTGGAGATGGGTAGGATTTAGCCAAGAGACTCCCCAAGCTTCCAATCCCCGCTTTGAGGGGAGCCAATGTCCCAATGGCCAGAGCCTGGCTAAAGACAGTAACAACCCTGGCCCTGTGGTATCTTCTTGTCTTTGGCCCAAAAACCCTCTTCGCCACATTATTTCTCTTCTAGATCA